GCGTCTCTCTCTGCGTCGCAAACGAAGTTTACATTTGGTCTGCACACAGCGCATCTATTCACACAAGTGGGGGCTATTGTGCAGTCACTGTTTGTGTGACTCCCCTCCCCCTGTAAGCGACGCATCTGAAATCGGGCACCGAGTTCACGATGAGTGCCCGCTGGGGTGGGGGGGAGGGGCGCACGCTTGCCCACAGCTTCACAGTCGCGCCCTGCACCCTTTACGGAGGGTTTCAAAAACAAACAAAAAAGCAACAAACAATCCCGCAACGCCCACGGAATTGCATTCACTGCGAGCGCAGCGGAGCTCTGCTGGTCACGAGCAGAAGCGAGACGCGCGCAGTCTCCTCCTCGCCCTCGGTCTCCTGGCCCCAGGTCCGAAACGAGGCTGGTGGGGAGCGAATCCTCTCTTGCGAAGGAGGACTCGCTACAGGGACGCGCGTGCCCACGTGTCGCACTTCTACGAACAACTTATTGGGTGCACTATGGAATTAAATTGAAGTTCGCGAGAGTCAACGTGGCTCAGCTCCTCTTTACGGTAATGAGCCCAGTGGTGGAGATTCCACGACTCGATGGCAGTTGGACCAAATAGTCTCTGCTGCTGCTGCTCTCTCACAAACTACTACATCACTTTTATTTTATATTTATATTGACGACCATTCCGGGGTGACTGGCGGTGAAAAACGCTAACCACGATTTCAACTCCTATCCATCCGATGATTGCAAACCACGTGCTCTATTCACTGCGCCGCTCGGCTGGATATGTGGTTATAGGTTTAGAGGTTAAAATCAGTCAACAACACTATTTAAAAATGAGCGCACCGGGACTGTCACGGGTTTGGGCTAAGACGCGTTGCTTTTTTTTAGCAACGCGCACGCCTCCCTCCAACGAATGACCCACACGTGGGCATTACGCTTGTGCGTACGGGAGTACGCAGTGGGACCTATTCGCGTCTGTTCAGGTCAACTCCATGTTTGCGTACCGTCTCTGACAACATATTCACCAGGGCTCCGTGTCGTGTTGGGAGCCCATGTTTGCACAAACGCTGGGCTAGCGCGACGTTGTTTTGTTTTACAGAATGCATGACCAGCAGAACAGTCAAAAGTGCAAAGCGGATTGTTCCTCTAGATGTTTCGCGGACGAAGCAAAACATTTGACCTTCGGAATAAAAAAGCCCCCCCCCCCCCTCCACCATCCCCAACCTTGTGGACCGCTACAAATTTCCTGCCAATGTTTGGGAGAGCCGCTTGTAAACACCATTGTGTGTGTGTATGTGTGGCTTGGGACACTCAGTGCCGCCACGCGATGAATGGGACCCCTGTGACCGCGTGCGCCCGCAGCTGATGTCGAACTGAGATGTAAATGCAGATTTTGTCAACTCTGAAGATGGCACCGAAAATAACAACGGCCCCTCCTCCTGTGGAACGACTGCAGCCTGTCGGAGAGAAACAGCAGCGGATTCGCCATAGCCTTGCGCTGTAAAAATGGTCGCGTGAAGACCAAACGTTTTACACTCATTATAATTTTTACGCATGGCGCTTGCGCAGGGGACACGGGTAATCACTTAGTTGTGTGTGCGCTGCATACACAGGTGCCAATTTCAGTCTGAGTGAACCTAAAATAATCCAAATCCAGATTCACATTCTACATGGCTACTGGTGGCATTGAACCTAGATAGAACAAGGTATAGTGTACACTCATAATATCGTTTTTTTTTTTGTGTTAAACTATAGTGTACACTCTCCATTATGCAACCACTGCCCTGTACACATACACAAATACCTGTTGTATTTATGTTTTATTTGTGTCTATTCCAATGAAGTGTAAGGCACAGAAACACTCTCCCACACATCAGCAGTCACCATGCACCATTGAGGCTTATGATGCTTGTGTCAGGCTAAGTGCACTTTGAGGCCGTCACTTGAAGTGTGAAAGGCTCGCTGCTGGTACAGAAAGTCACGAGGCAGACCCAGGTGCAATGGGTTATCTGCAGTGCCAGGCTGGGTGCATGAGATCACGGCCCCAGGTGCTATGACGGAAGACAGGTGTGTAGATGCGCCACCACCTGTGCTCCCTGCAGTGCCACGTGGCTGTGTTTAATCCGTCCGGCGCTCCACTCGACGTTGTGAATAAACACAACGATCCCTTGTATAGGCTGACAGCCTGTTGCGGCCAGTGCTGTTAGCGAGCACCTATTAAGGCCGGCACGGCACACAAGGGGGTGTGAGTCCAGAATCACGCCAGGCCGCCTTGATATCCCAAGTAGCGATGTTTACACACCGCACCAGGTACTCATTTGAGGCTGCGTCGGCCTAGGGTAGTCCCAGGAGCGAAGATGATCGTCACTGGTGTTGGCAATCAGTGTGAATCGAACCCGGGTAACCCGGTTTGTTATGCAGCGCGGTAACCACTGCGCCACCGCTCCCCGCTTATACTGAAGGCTGGAAACATTACACACATGCGGGGTGCTGGATACATTGGAAATACCCAAATCCTCAACACATGGAATCAGGAATGCAGTGCGATTGTGTGCTGATGTGAGAACAGTTGCAACACGTGCGTAAGTTTGTGTGGACCAATAGTCGACTCCGCCAGCAACTCTCTCGTGGCATTAGCGTCACACTCAGCAGGAGGCGACCGAGTTGGTTCACCGCTGGTGGTGATCAACGTGACGAGTTCAGGGGCTTGAAGCGGAGATGCACAACGCCTTGAAACCAACCCTGCGCTGTGAGCGACACCGAACGCTCTCCTTGGTTGTGAAAACAATTGTTGTCAGACGTTTCGAGTGTTAAGCTTCGAGACAGCTATGCACACGTACAGCCCTTTGTCAATCCACACTGCTGGACGATGGCCTCGGCACACTGTGTGGTAGTACAGGGATACAATATTTAACCACACTCACCACGCTGGTCAGTGTGCTGCTTGGTGAAGCCGGGGAGCAGTGAGAAGTGGGAGAGTCGGACTCAAGTTCAACACTGCCAAAACTTTAGCCCCCGAGCCCTTCGAGAACATCATTAGTTTACATCGGTCACTCTCCAAGTCACGGTCGTTAATAGGCGCACTGTGTACAGCAGCGGCGCGCGTGCGCTTCATCATCGCGAGTGGCAGTGGCGATAACTCACGAGTCGCATCAACCTTGCCGAGGTGGCGCTCAGCGGGGCCGCGGATCAGCGAGGCCGCGGCCCGCCCGGCTCGACCGCTCGCCGGCAGATCGTCCATCACCCCTCCCGCGCCTCCCAATCAATAGCCGACGACTCATTAGCAGCGGCTCGCCCTGCGTGTGGCGTGCTCACGGCGCCTGCTCGGCTCTGAGCTGCTGGATGCCCCTCGCCAGCCCCCCCCCCCCACTTCTTCCCAACCCCGACCTTCATCGTGATCATCCGCCATGGTCAATCGACTTCTGAATGATGGCCGAACCCTAACCCCCTCCCAAGCTGCCACCACTGTGACCCCAATGAGACTCCAGAACACCCCTTCGCTAAACCCCTCCGCATGGGAGCCGGGGATTGATTTTGTTTTCTCCACTGGTAGATTTAAACGATAGCAGCTGGCACGTGACTCCGTAGCCAGAGTTAATAGCGAGTTGTATACTAGATGCGGTGTGCCAGGTGCGGATATCGAAACAAAACTCCGCATGAATGAACTAAGCCCTGAGCGTGTCACAGACTTGCTACAGTGAGCGAAACCACGCATGGACACAAGAGGGTGAACGTGAACTCTCCAGGGTGAAAGTGAACTCTCCAGGGTGAACGTGAACTCTCCAGGGTGAACGTGAGCTCTCCAGGGTGAACGTGAACTCTCCAGGGTGAACGTGAACTCTCCAGGGTGAACGTGAGCTCTCCAGGGTGAACGTGAACTCTCCAGGGTGAACGTGAGCTCTCCAGAGTGAACGTGAGCTCTCCAGGGTGAAAGTGAACTCTCCAGGGTGAACGTGAGCTCTCCAGAGTGAACGTGAGCTCTCCAGGGTGAACGTGAGCTCTCCAGGGTGAACGTGAACTCTCCAGGGTGAACGTGAACTCTCCATGGAGCTACGGCCATGAGGGGGATGAGGGGCTGCCCCATCCGTTTCTAAATGATCATCGTCAGGTCCATAGAGGGTGGTGCTAGGATGGTGCAAGGGTGGTGCGGGGAAGTGTAGGCTGTGTGTAGGCTGTGTGTGGGCTGTGTGTAGGCTGTGTGTGGGCTGTGTGTAGGCTGTGTGTAGGCTGTGTGTAGGCTCTGTGTGTAGGCTGTGTGTAGGCTCTGTGTGGACTGTGTGTGGACTGTGTGTAGGCTGTGTATAGGCTCTGTGTAGGCTGTGTGTGGACTGTGTGTAGGCTGTGTGTGGACTGTGTGTAGGCTGTGTGTAGGCTGTGTGTAGGCTGTGTGTGGACTGTGTGTAGGCTGTGTGTGGACTGTGTGTAGGCTGTGTGTAGGCTGTGTGTAGGCTGTGTGTGGACTGTGTGTAGGCTGTGTGTGGACTGTGTGTAGACTGTGTGTAGACTGTGTGTAGACTGTGTGTAGGCTGTGTGTAGGCTATGTGTGGACTGTGTGTGGACTATGTGTAGACTGTGTGTAGGCTGTGTGTAGGCTGTGTGTAGGCTGTGTGTGGACTGTGTGTAGGCTGTGTGTAGGCTGTGTGTAGGCTGTGTGTAGACTGTGTTTAGACTGTGTGTAGGCTGTGTGTAGACTGTGTGTAGGCTGTGTGTAGACTGTGTGTAGACTGTGTGTAGAGCACGGGAATCCGCGCTCCACACGCGCAGATCGCGCCCTTACTCACTCTACTGGGCACTAAGCACTCGGTTAAAGTTTGTTTAACATCGACTGCCTCGTGCCCCCCCCCTCAGTCCTTTAGAAACGTGACACAGTGTCACGTCGCGGAGCCTACAACACCCACGCTCCGATATCGCGTCAAGTTTCCGTGGGCGCATTACGCATTGACTAGAGGTGCGCCTCGAGTCCGTACACTTTGATGATGGTGGTGATGGTGATGATGACATTATGTATTCCGCCCTGCTTACCTCCCGCGTGCGAGATGACCGAAGAAGTGAGCGCCAACACAACGGTCAGGAGCACCAAGCGCCTCTTCATCTTCAGCCGGTTCCGATCGCCAAATCAGCACGAGGGACTCCTACACGGCGAGAGACGCGCGACTTTGCTGGACCACGGAACGCGAGAGCCACGGGGAGGGGGGGGGGGAGTTGAGGCTGCGTGGCCGTGCCGGCTGCGTCGCATTGACGGCTCCTCGCTCTCGCTTCCTCGCCCGCAGACTCTGGCAGCCTCCGAGTGAACAGTCACAACGAGTGGCGGCGCTTCCTGCTGCTGCTGAGCTAAGCTGCCACCCGCCCCTGTTCACGTCCCGTCCCAGCGCCGCCTCTGTCTGCCCGAGCTGACACGGGGCTGGAGTTTTCAGCTTTGGATCCCACCAGCTCCGCCTCTGCTCTCCCTCTCTCGCTCTCTCTCGCTCTCTCTCTTTGCATTTCACGCTGCCACTTGAGTCATCAACCGCGTCCCTGCGCCAGCGTCGCCGAGTCCGTGGGCGGTGCTGCTGGGGGCGCAGGCGCCGTGTGTCGCTACTCCATGGCGAGGACTCCTGCGACCCAGGGACTCGGCCTCCCGAGCAGAGCAGACGTGGGACACGGTCCCAGGGAGGGTCTACAAGAGAGAGAGAGAGAGACAGCAGAGAGGGAGCAGACGTGGGGCACGGTCCCAGGGAGGGTCTACGAGAGAGAGAGACAGCAGAGAGGGAGCAGACGTGGGATACGGTCCCAGGGAGGGTCTACAAGAGAGAGAGAGAGAGACAGCAGAGAGGGAGCAGACGTGGGACACGGTCCCAGGGAGGGTCTACGAGAGAGAGAGACAGCAGAGAGGGAGCAGACGTGGGACACGGTCCCAGGGAGGGTCTACGAGAGAGAGAAAGACAGCAGAGAGGGAGCAGACGTGGCGGCGCAATACCCCCAAGGGACTCGTGATTTCTCTCAATGCAGAGTAGCAAATTGGTGCTCACCGAAGCCGTGCGAGGTGAAGAGCCGTTCCCTGTGGAGGGGGGGGGGGGGGGGGTGATGCACCGAGACACGCGGTGGGGGGAAACGCGTGGCGGTGGCAGTGGCGGTGTCGCTCTCTCCTCTCTGCGATCGAAACACCGCGCTCCACGTGGCCCGGCCATGGAGCGTGGACGCGACACCGCGAGGCAGATTAGAGGCGCGGTGCGACGCTGATGTCGAGCAATTACAGATACGGGAAGAAGCGCTCTCCCACGAGATCCCGGCAGTGAAATCGGCAGCGAAAGAAGAGAGAGAGGCGGAGAGGAGAGAGAACGCGAGAGAAGTGCTGGGCAGGAGTTAGGGCAGCGGCGGTGGCGGGGAGGGATGGAGCGGACCCCGGTCTCGGTCCCCACGCCCGTGCTGCTCGGATACCCCTCCAGCGCTGTCACCAGTCCGCGAAAGCCTACCAGCGCATACACGCGTTATATTTCATTAACCACATCAACAACAGAAAATGCGTACTATATTATATATGTTTACATTTACACGTGCGGTTGTAGCTATGCACGTTTGAAAACCAGCACTCTGGAGGCGAGAGTTGCTGGATTACCGCATAATTGTCGTGAAACTCCATTCCATTGGGCGTGGAGAATTTGCTATACGCTGTCTCGCCAGGAGACGGCAGTTCGGCACCTGGACTAATCACCATCTGTTTCCATCTGTGCAGGGATAAAGCGTTGCGCCCTCGCACGCATGGATTTTCTCTAAGAGATGCCTCGTGTACCCCCGACAGGTGTCTCACGTAGCCCCAGGGGCTAGCTTAGCCCCCTGGTCAGGAGCCCCGACTCTAGCAGCGTGTCGTGTCGCGGTCTCGATGTGCCGCCTCACGCTGCCGCCGCTGTTTCATTTAAACGCTCAGAGAAGGGGGCATTTTCCACGCTCTCAGCGAGAAATGTGAACACGTGAACGTCTCAATAATTTCATTTCAGAAGAAAACCATTAGCGCGTCTTAAATAATTCACCGACTTATTTTTCTCATCAGAGTGAAAAATTATTTCAACTCTTTTTGGTTTGTGTGTGTATGTGTGTGCGACTCTGTGCATGTCGGTGTGTGTGTGTGTGCGACTCTGTGCATGTCGGTGTGTGTGTGTGCGACTCTGTGTATGTCGGTGTGTGAGTGTGTGCGACTATGTGCATGTCGGTGTGTGTGTGTGCGACTCTGTGTATGTCGGTGTGTGTGCGACTATGTGTATGTCGGTGTGTGTGTGTGTGCGACTATGTGTATGTCGGTGTGTGTGTGTGCGACTCTGTGTATGTCGGTGTGTGTGCGACTATGTGTATGTCGGTGTGTGTGTGTGCGACTCTGTGTATGTCGGTGTGTGTGTGCGACTGTGCATGTCGATGTGTGTTTGTGCGACTCTGTCCATGTCGATGTGTGACTCTGTGTATGTCAGTGTGTCTGTGTGACTCTGTGTATGTCAGTGTGTCTGTGTGACTCTGTGTATGTCAGTGTGTCTGTGTGACTCTGTGTATGTCAGTGTGTCTGTGTGACTCTGTGTATGTCGGTGTGTGTGTGACTTTGTGTATGTCGGTGTGTGTGTGCGACTATGTGTATGTCAGTGTGTGTGTGTGACTTTGTGTATGTCGGTGTGTGTGTGTGCGACTTTGGCACAGTAGGGGGCACAGGTGATGCATCAGCCAGTCATCTCGGTCAGTCGACCCTTGGCATCTGGGTCTGCCCAGTGACCTCGTGCCAGCGGGCGTTCGACACTTCACGTGGCGTCAAGGTGCACATGGCCTGGCACAAGCGCCGTGGTGACATCACCGCCACTTAGTGGCGAATGCCAGTTGTTGGTGTTTGTTGTTTGTCGGTGTGTGTTTGCGCGTTCACACAAAACACGAAACGCGCGTGAATATTCAGCTTTCGCTGTAATTAATCGCAGGTGCGGTAAAATACCACGTTTATTGAGATGTCTTAAAGCCACGTCAAAAATACGTAGAAAAATAAGTTTTCGCGTGCGGATAACCACCGTGCATACACTGACATTAACAGCACGACAAATGCAAGGCTGATGAAATGACGCCGCGACCTTTGCGCCCGTAAGCAAATGTGCGGCGCGCAACCGATCCCTCAAGACTCGAACGTCGCTGCCATTTGCTTCCCGAGGGCTTGGGCCACGTTTCAACCCCCGTCAGCTACCGGCGCGGCATCAATCACCGCTAATCTGGTGTGGGGCCTTCCGGTGCCCTCCTCTCACACGCGTCAAACAAAGCTCGCAAAAAGGCACGGCTTTATCGAGAAGCGGAAAGTGCGCAACGAAGTGTGGAGTGAGGCACGCGTGGAATTGCAATGAGAGACGGAGAGAGTGGACAAACGCATGTTTATGTCATTGTTCAAGCTGTTACGAAAAGTACGTGGGGTTGGGAAGGACAAGTCGTGGCTAGAAGGTTTGGTGACGGATGGTCAAGAATACTAATGGAGTGGCAGCCAAGGAACGGAACGCATTCGCGAGCACGTCCACCACAGAGAGTGATTTAGTCTGCATGCAGGTGCTGCGGTGAATTGTGACATCGCAGGATGGCGAAACATGGCAGCGGCTTGAAGGATATCTCTATCCAGCAGTAGATTGATCATGACGAATTATGATGTATGTGTTTTGTCACTGCACTCTGGCTTCCTCCCAGAAGACACAAATAAAACTTGCCGGCTCAAAAGTAAATTTGCCAAACATCCCAGGCAGGATTTTCGCAGTCTTGAAGTGTCGGTGCTGCCTTTTTTGGCTGGGATTTCAAACTGAGCGCTTAATAAGCTGCGAAGTGTGATTGAGACGATGTGTCACCGTTACGAGACAGCTGGGGAACAGTGCAAGAGACATTCACGTGTCGGGAAACACACAACGTGTAGAGGGAGCACACAGCCCCGAGTGTAAAATAACGCACTGCAGCAAATATGCCAGTAACGTTGATTCGTGCAGAGAAAGCCTCAAAATGAGTCTCAGGTCTCTTTTCAGGAAGCTGCTGCTTCAGGAGTGCCATTAGAACCGTCGATGTGCCCGCTTTGGTAAGCACACACCTCGTGATTTGAATGGGCCTGCCAAGGCCAGTGTGCACACTTAAAACCGGTCCCACCTCGGCACCTGCGAGCTCTGTAGAGGACGCAGTGCCCGTGCTCACCGCCGCCGAGCTCACGTCGCACTGCCAACAATGCAGCGGCGGGAGAGACGTCCTCTTCATCCAGCAGTGGATAGATCATGGCTGATGATATTCATGTCGGAGAAGGCGGGTGTCAATACGTGGTGTTATATATATAAAATACGTGGTGTTATATAGGTAAAAATATATGACTCGTAATATCACGTGTCACCTTCTCAGACCGATTCGAATCAAAAGGAGCACTTTCAAAAGCAGGGCCACACATTAAAACTACTTCTTGGTCACTTCCTTTTTAAAGCAATTAAAATAACGAACTTCCGTTTAGTATCTGCATCGTTGAGTCCATCAGCCTGTCGGCCTTGCACACTCACGTATTGAAACACACGAACTCCCCACCGCTTTCGCCATTCTACGGGTCATCAACATCCCAGCTGAACAAACACTGCTGCCGACTGAGCAGATGATCGCGCTAATAAGTAGCCTCTCTCGTTTGCAAGGAGCGTTCTGCTTCCCACCTGAGCAAGGGGATACAGAGCGAGACGCGCCCGCCGCTCTGTACACTCCTTTCTTTGTACAAAGTTGGGCACGGGGCCTTGGGCGAGCCCCCCCCCTCCCCCCGTGTTGAGGAGTTCGTGAGAGCGCCTCTCCCCAAACATCCGGAGCGGTGATGAGTATCCGCGATGCTTAGGCGCAAAGATAACGTGTTGTCGAAGTAGTAATAATAATAATAAACGGATACATAAATAACGTGACAACCCAGGGCTGTGGCTGGCTGCAATGCGAGTCTTCCCTCTGGTGGAACTCGCGGCGCTGCGCAATGAAATCCACGGAGCGCAGTGACGATGGCTGCCCGCGTCTCCCCGAGTCCACGAGCACAGAGCAGACAGCTCGCTTTCCGGTAACCACCAGAGGTGGCATCACTTTGAGTGACTCCAATTTATTTGTGCGGCCAATGCGAGTGAAATATGTGACAACCAATCTTGAAAGGAGTGTGAGTTATCAAGTACAGTTACGCTCTCAATCGTCGTATAAGCAAATCGGCACAACAAGACGTGTGCTACCTTAGGTGGTAACGACATTTGTTCTGGCCCATGGACTGTGAGGGCACTGTCGTGGCTTTCGAGTGTGGAAGCGGAGCACCCGCACCAGGGCCCACACGCTGAGCTGTAGAGCGGATAAATCACCCCATGTAATTTCCTGCACCAGGACCCGTGCCAACCGCGAGACGCATATTCACATAGAGACCCACAGACTCACACATAGACCCATAGACTCACGTAGAGACCCATAGACTCACACAGATACCTATATACAGTACTCGCATAGAGACCCTCAGACTCACATAGAGACCCATAGACTCACACAGGCCGTCTCTGCTGGGTAAGTGACGCTTCTCCCTCCTCCGTGGTCCCAAAGACTCCAAGAACGACTTCCCCTGCACGAGTCGATCTACAAACTCATTCCGCGCTCTCGTGGATAATTCTGAGCGATAGAGTAATTAAACATACACACACACACGGTTTATTTTCCTCAATATGAATACACGTGTGTTTAGTCTACTCACCTACTGCCTTCTATACGTATGCTATCCGGAAGAATGTATTTAAGAAGGAAGCAAGCGATGGAATGATTTTAAAATGTTGGGACTCATCAGCAGAATGAGGCTTGTTAAACATGTGCTGACGTCTTCTTCTTTCTAACGGCTGATGTAGATGCAGAGTAGCATCTATAATTTCACATTCAGGTGGTCAAGTCAGATAACCGCATCAGCTTACCGCAATCCACTCTCAGATCTCGTGGTGTGGTCGTAAGAACGCGTGGCTGTCAATGGAAAAGTGTTGGGTTGGAATCCCATTCAAGGTTCGAATCAGCAGCCCATCAACTCTCCA